CATAGGCAGGTGATGGCCTACCCTTCTCCCCATTAAAAAAAATCACAATAAAATAGCTGCAGAGAAAGAAATACAGAAGGCTTTGGAAGTGCACATAGAGAGAAAAGTAGTGTCTGGAACCTAAATCTATACCAAAAGCCTAAAGGCCTTTGAGACTTTCCCGAGGAGACACAAAACCATTGAGATGCAGAATTCCAGGTCGGGAGAGCATGACTGCACCCCTGGGGAATTCCAGGTCAGGAACTTGACTGCACCCCTGGGGAAACTGCTGGAACAAAGGTCACATTAAGAATATCAAAAGACCATTAACAGCTCTGGCCTCTAGAGTATTAAATGGACTGGGAGTTGTGGGGAGGGAACTTTGGGAAAACTATATAAACTAACTTGGCAGAGGAAAGTGCCTATATGCCCACATCTGTTCCTGAAAGATACACTTCTTTCTTGAATCTTACAATGCATTTGCCCACATCTCTGAATTTTTTTTAACCTAATGAAGCTTTTTTTGGGTCACACCGGTGATGCACAGGGGTCACTCCTGGCTCTGCACTTAGGAGTTACTCCTGGCGGTGCTCAGGGGATCATATGGGATGCTGGGAATCGAACCCAGGTTGGCCGTGTGCAAGGCAAATGCCCTACCTGCTGTTCTATTGCTCCAGCCCCCCAAACCCATACTCTTTCCTCTCTCTCTCTCTCTCTCTCTCTCTCTCTCTCTCTCTCTCTCTCTCTCTCTCTCTTCTTTCTCCATTATTTCTCACAGAAACTTGTTTTTCTTCATTATTCATTCCCTCCTGAAATTCTTTCCAGTAAGGGTAGGTGGCAAACCTGGAAAGCCTGTGTAAGATTTAGGACTGACTTTGCTTTCTTGTGAAGAGCAATTCCCAGCTCCAGTCTGGGTTCCAAGCATCCCTGAGAAATCGGGTACCGGAATCATTTCGCCTGCTGGGCAGAACCAGTGGAATCCAGGTGCAGTTTGCAGTAGTATGTAGTATGGACAGTTGTTGAGATAGAAGGTCTAAATGTGCATTATTCATAGCGGACTTGCTGCACCCCTAGATTTCCCTGGGCACTTGCCCTGGTGACCTAGTGAGTTGATTTGATTGATCTGTTTGCACAGTCATACCCTGTGGTGCTCAGGACTTAACTCTGTGCCCAGCAATTATTCCTGGCCGTGCTGGGGGGATGCGTGGTGGAGGGGGGGAGGTAAGCATATTGGATGCTGGGGATCGAACCCGCCTCTGCTGTGTGCAAGGCAATCTCCCTTTCAAGGGCTCTGGTCCCTGACCTATTGGACCGAGTGGTATGTGTCCTTCTCAATGCTGTCTGTCATCTTTCTCCTCCCCATTTCACAGAAGCCACAGAGGGGAACCCAACACCTTCTGATGAGAGTCATTTCTCACACTTGTACCATATGGTTCATACTCTGGGAACAAAAATTGCTTGCCGGAAGCTGGAGCTATAATACACCCCGGAAGGGTGCTTGCCTTGAATGCTGTGGACTCGGGACTGATCCTGGTACCCAATGGGGGGGGGGGGGGGTCCCTTGAGCCTGCCAGGTGTGATCACTGAACACAGATCCAGGAGTAAGCCTGAGTACTGCCAGGTGTAGCCCCACTCAAATAAATAAATTAATTAATTAGTAGATAAGTAAATATATAAATAAGAAGAGCCAGAGAGATAATATAGCAGGTAAGACATTTCCCTTGCATGCCACTGAGCTGGGTTTGATCCTTGGCATCTCATAGGGTCCCTCAAGTTTTCCAGGGGTGGGTCCTGAGTGTAAAACAGGGCATAACCCAAGTTTTTGCAGGTGTGCTCCCCCACAGAAAAGAACCGCTTGTCCCCATTTCTGAAGAACAGTCATATTTTAAGAGAGGAAAGAACTGTAGAACTGTAGCCTTTTTCCCTCCTCAAATAAGGCTCCTTAGCGTCAAGGATCCCCAGAGGACATTCTTTTTCTTTTTCATGATACTCATGCTGGCTCAACTACTCAGTGGAATAGAACTTTAGTAGATACTAGCCAATCTTAAATTCTGTTTTCAGTTCCATAGCTACAGATTTAACAAAGAAGCTTCAGAATGTTATTCCAGGAATATATGAGTAGAGGACACTCAAATGTCTTATGTGTGTGTGTGTATTTCCTTTGCATTTTATTTTTTACTCTTTATTTTTTCTTTACTGAATCACTGTGAGATAGACTGAAATAAAGTTGCTCATGATTGGGTTTCAGTCACACACTGCTCCAACACCCATCCCTTCATCAGTATTCATTTCCCACCACTAGTGTCCCATTTTCCTCCTGACCACTGGCCCCCAGCCTGTCTCTACTGCAGACACTTTTCTTCTCTCGTCTCTCTCTTTTGGGCATTATGGTTTGCAATATAGGTACCGAGAGGTTACCATGTTAATCCCTTTACCGACTTTCAGCACTCAGTTCCAGAGTGATCATTTCCAAATCTCCTTTGTCATAGCGGTCCCTCCTCTATCCTAACTGCCTCCCCTGCATCGCCAACTTGTAGCAAGCTCCCAACCATGAACCAGCTCTCCTGGCCCTTGTTTCTACTGTCCCTGGGTATTAGTCTCATAGATGATTTTTTTCATATCCCACAAATGAGTGTAATCATTCTATGTCAGCTCCTCTCCCTTTGGCTCATTTCACTCAGCATGTCTTTATCCAAGTTACTGTGGTAGCTTCTCTAATCTCTTGTATAATAAAGGTGACAGAATATATTCATGATAGAGAGTTGGCCAGACTACAAATGTGCAGAGCAGAAAGCTGGTCACAGAGCTTGTTTGTAAAAGGGGGTTAAGAAAGCTCTTTTTTTGCCCTACTAATTAGTGGTAAGTTTGTCTTCACCACAAAGCCATTTAAAGAGATAAAGCTGACTTCGTTATGTTTCCATTTTCCCTCTTAAGGACTAATGAACTTTAAGGTTGCAATTCATGAAACTTGGAATATTTGGGAAGATAGTTTTGTGGGCCACTCTACACAATACCTGAGAATGATCTGTTTTCTCTTCTCTTTTTTTGTTTTTGAAAATCGGTGTTTTGGGAAGCTTGTCTTTACACACTTATGTTTCCAACACTTTACTGAGAATAGAAAGATGCTTAAAGCTGGGCTGGTGTAGGATAATTCTTGAGATTTAGCACTGTAGTACTATTGTCCCTTTGTTCATCAATTTGCTCGAGTGGGCACCAGTAATGTCTCCATTGTGAGACTTGTTCTTACTGTTTTTGGCATATGGAATATGTCACAGGCAGCTTGCCAGGCTTTGCCGCGCCAGCGCGATACTCTCGGTAGCTTGCTGGGCTCTTAGAGAGGGATGAAGGAATCGAAACTGGGTCAGCCACGTGCAAGGCAACCCCCTACTTGCTGTGCTATCACTCTAGCCCTTGAGACTTAGAGGAATTTTAATTTTATATCCTTGCATTGGTGATTAGTGTACTGGCTCTTCACAGAGAATCAAATAATTATTCTATTGTTTGTTATGAATCACTCTTGACATAGGAATAAAGTCCCACCCCTCAGCTTTTTGCCATGTCTTGTGAATAAAGAGCTACTCCAATTATTTATGGGCCTGATTTTCTACTGCGAGAGTTTGCTTTGGTTCACCTTAACCAGTTTGGTTTATTACTGCCTTATGGACAGATATTTGGCTGAATGATGATGGAAGGGCAAGGTTAGGTGAGAGGCTCATGAAATTTGCTCTAGACTTAAACCTTCTCTTTCCTTTTGGAACTTTACTGTCCAAACATCCATTCAAGACAATGAATGCCTTACTTTCAGCTCCTCACATTCAATCCCATGAGTACTTCCTTCCCATCAAGGAATGCTTATGAAAGATCAGTATCCATTATTTCTTTGTACTTGATAAGGTTCTACTAACCTCATCAAGACCATAAAATGTTAGTGTGGAACTGGAGCAATAGCACAGCGAGTAGGGTGTTTGCCTTGCATACAGCCGACCGGGGTTCGATTCCCAGCATCCCATATGGTCCCCTGAGCACTGCCAGGGGTAATTCCTGAGTGCAGAACCAGGAGTAACCCCTGTGCATCTCCAGGTGTGACCCAAAAATCAAAAAATAAAATAAAATAAAATAAAATGTTAGTGTGTGCCCAGAAATTCATCTATTTTTCTATTCTCCATTGCAGTTGGTTATGCCTTAATAGGGCACTGGGGATCCCTTCAATATTTCTGGATCAAGTGGAATCTTCAATTAGATGACAAAAACAATCTAGCTCTGAAGACACATGGGCTGCATCAGACTATTTCCTCTGAGGGCATGTTGAAATCATCATTTTCTAAAATGGACTTAGACTGGTAGGTAGGTGTTTTGTTTATTGAGCTTTTCGCTTTAAAATTAGAGGTGGCTAGAGCAAAATAAATACTTTCATTAGATTCCCAGCTTGTTTTTGAGACTTTATTTCTCTGGATGACAGGGTAGAGATTTTCTTACTGAAAGACTGTGCTGAGAGTCCAGCAGATAACAGTGTTCTACAGATGGTCTTTGGTACTTGTATGGTAGATAATAGTGTAATGAATCTTAGTGTACAAAAGTCAAGCACAGCTATCATTTTTCATGATGATCCTCTGCTCTGATTTATGTGAATTTCAAATTTATTCAATGTAAGAATGGCATTTTTCTGGTCTATCAAATCCTACTCTACTTTTGGACCTATTCCATAATCAATCACCCAAATTACTCAATACTGGCATAAAATTAAAAAATAGGGGTAGGCATAGCTTAATTTTCATACCTGTGTCACGAATATCTTTATCTAATAACACCTTGTACATTTGTGCCCTGAGTGACTTATTTTGTCTGATAAACATCCATTGTATGAACTCATTGGGGAGTATAAGAGATGAAGGGAGAAAGGTCATATTATCAAATCATTGCACACAAAGGCATTTTTTTTCAGTATCACCTTGATTTATTTTCCTATTTTATTTTGTTCTCAGATGGAAAAATAATTTTATCAAGAAAACAAATGCTTCTGCCAAAGTTAAAGAATTCCAAATTTTAATCTTTTATGTAAAAAATGCCAACAGAGCTAAAGACTTGCCTCACCTCATCCTCATTTCACTGGCTAGTTTTTAAAAATCCATTGACAGTAAACAACATATTTTCCTCAAATATGATGATTATATTTTATTGCTGTCTTGTTTAGTATATGTTTTTCTCAATTGGGAAAAAAAGTCTAGGTGAAAAAATTACCTAACAAGAGAAGTAGTTTACATGGTCATAACATTTAAATTGCTGCCAAAGAAAGACATGTAGAAAAAAAAAAGATTTTAAATGTAAAATATCACATAACTTCAAAAAACTTACCTCAATTTTCTACCATTTATCAGGTTCTATAAGTCAACATTCTAATAGGATTACAGTCCTTTATTATAAGTCCCTAATGGTACTATGGTATACATTTAAAAAAGGCTACTACAAAAAAAAATCTTTATTTTTGTTTCTTCCTAGGATGGACTTAAACTATTGATATTTTTGAATAAAAAGCCTACAGTAGGTATAAATGCAATAGTTAACTGATGTCCTTTCCTGCTCCACAGAAGATGGCATCTATTAGTCCAGCATCTTCTCCTGTTTCTTGCCTTCCTTTTTCTTCTTCTTAGATTCTGCTGTAATTACAAAGAAAAGAAACAAAAATTACATTAGTAAAATATACATGAGGGAAGGAAGCTACTTCGCTTAAAATTGGCCAGGAATTACACAAGTCAATAGAAAAAAAATGGAGATATGTTTGCATTCAGGGCACGTGTCTGAATGCATGCAGGTACATATGTGTTTATGAATCTGCCCTCGCAAAAAGGGCCTATAAAAATTGGCAGGAACAATGCATCTTTTACCTAACATAGCTTACCTCTGTGTGAAATCTATAAATGCCTGCTTCCCTATTGGCTGCCCAGCTTTATATACAAAATATTGTCCAGATGTCCTATTTAGAAAATAGAACACAGCACCTTGCTGAGAAGGTAAGCTTCTCAATGGAACACTACTGAAGTTTTTCTTAACCCTTTCTATACTTAACACACTTTATCTTTCATTATTTCTGCTTGTCATTTTTAAGTGTCTCCTTCCTTTGATCTATGAAGAGTGGGACAACCAGCACTTCAAAGGTATTTTTTCAAAGTTCAAGGTATCTGTAAAGTCAAAGAAGGCATTCTGTTTCATTTCTAAACAACTAGTGTCTCAACATTTAATAATTTCTAGTCTTTTGTTGATATCTTAAGCTACAGTTGTGTATTAAGATGATATACCTGGGAAATAACATAGGATGTCAAATGGAATATATCTATCTCTTATTCCCTTGGCCTCAGCTTTTCCAAATCTCTTACTGAGATGCATCAGCACTTTATAACCTTCTTGCTCACCAGCAGGCTAGAAGTTTGGGGCAATAATTTCCACATTTTGGCTAACATTCTTTAATGTAGTATAAAATAGATGAATAGATGGAAGTCACACTGATCAGGTATTTATATAAATTTATTTGATAATGCTTTAGAGTATTCTTTGATACTCTAGATTTTTAAACCTAGCTTATATTGGGTATTTATTCCAGGGCACACTTTGAGACTGGGAATCTTTCCTTAATTCTCCTTGGTGATAGCAAGCACACATTCTCACTTTGTTACTTCAGCTTAACATTCATTCTATGTTCATTAATGAACAATTTGTTGACCAAGAAGTCAACATCTTGCCCATTTAATCTTCACAGTGTCAATCACTCAATGTTTTGGAACAAGTGGAAAGTCTTCATGGAATTGCTTTGATACACTGCAAAATCTGAAGTCCACTTTGAGTTAAATCTAAATAGAGAAATGAGGGATTGTCACTGAAAATCAGTGCAGAGGAGGAAAAATTTGCATTTTCCTAAGATCATTTTGATCTCTCACATAGTGAAATGTTCAAAGTTTTGAGAATAAAGTAAACATGGGATGATGATAGTGATTTGCATCAAAAGCAACTTTTGATGATTTTTATTACACTTGCATACAAATTGAGGATAGTCACCACTTGTCTCTGTGACCTCAAAAACTTTTTAAAAGGAAAACTTTTTAATATTTGCTCTCTCGATACCAGGATTATTAAATAGTGCCATGGAATCTATAATTGCAATAATTGTACTAATAATTTTATAATAATAATAACAATAAATTATAATATATAATCATGTTGTTACTGTGTCTGGCATATAATCATGTTAAACAACCCTTAAAAAATAGGAACCAAATGAATCTGTGATTTGGGAAAGTCCGAATCACACTGACCTAGCAGGAAAATCAGAAAGATCTTTCCATACAACACAACTCAACTTCTATTGTTTATCACATTTATAGCAAATGTCTAGTGGTCTTGTTATGTACTTTGATCTTGCATCACTCGAATCAATTTCTATTACTTAAGGCTCTGCACTTAGGCTTATTTCAAGCACATTTATTTTCTGTCTGGGTCTTTGGCCTTCAAACATGCTCTTCATCCCATCAACCCCACAGTTCAATCAGCATCAACATTCTGTTAATCTACTGTCCCTCAAACACTAGTCTGAGCACCACTTCTAGTTTGTAGGTTTGAGTCAGAAATCTTTTATCTTTATTTCACCTCTCTGGGACCACTTAGCTCTAGCACTGCAATTACCACTGAAGCATCTATCAGCTGTGTCAAAACAAAGTTTCTATTCAGACGACATATTGCTCAGTGTACATTAGTACACTTGTTAGTGAAATAAATAAGTCTGCGGCATAGCAAGAGCATATGCTTCAATAGCTCACCAGACACCCATCTTCCTGAATTCTCCTTGCCTATCGCCACTTCAATCTTTACACATTATGGTCTCTGTTGCCTGCGTGTTTCCCTTCTTCCTTTCTCAATTTCGCTTAGCCAGCAGATACTCATTCCTAGGATCTTAGCTTCCAAGTCACTTCCAAAAGGAATGCTTCCCAGAATTTCCCACCCGCTGTTAAAACACTCCCATTGTGCCTCTATTGCTCTTAAAAGATTATACTTGCAGGGATCAGAGATAGCTCTATTGACAAGGAAACCTGCTTTGCAGACATGAGGCTGCAAGTTTGATCCCCAGCACCACATCATATGTTGAGTGCTATCTCAGTGGTAAAGGTAAAAGGCCCTCCCGTTGATCATCGATTTGCTCGAGCGGGCCTAGTAACGTCTCCATTGGAGACTTTGTTGTTACTGTGTCTGGCATATCGAATCCATCACGGGGAGCTTGCCAGGTTCTGCCGTGCGGGCAAGATACTCTCGGTAGCTTGCCGGGCTCTCCGAGAGGGGTGGAGGAATCGAACTCGGGTCGGCCATGTTGGCTACTTGCAAGGCAAACGCCCTACCGCTGTGCTATCGCTCCCCTTAATACCCCCATACAACAAAGTACGTGATTTCTGATGTACTAAGCACTACAACCAGGTATGTCCAAGCATTACCCAAAACATGTGAACCCACAATTGTCATGGGGACAACTGTGGGAAGAGAAGAAGGGAAACGTAAATGGGACTACTCATTTTATAGCTGTTTATTGAATATGTACTTCCTTCTTCCTATGAGAGAAGAGACAGAGACCATCGGAATGTCTTTTGTTTCTGTGTCTTTCGTCTCTGGTACAAAATAAGAGCTTTTGAAATATTTGTTGTAGGCAGAGTGAAGAAATGAATGCTTAGTGGTAAGACTGCTTGAATGAATGCTTAAGTGTGAGAGTCCACTTATTAATGCATAAGAAAGTTAGGACTATAAATACCATTGCTATCTTGCAATATCTCAATATTTCATTGGCAATCATTATTTTATGATGAATAAGATTGCATGCACTTATATTTAAATGTTGTTGCAATCTGTCACCTCTTTTTCCTGTTTAAAAGTAGAAGCCTGAGTTAAGCCTGTGAGTAAAATGTCCTATTTCACTAACTTTTGGAACTTACAGTGAGAGAAATCTTTATTGTGCAGATTATTAATTGTCTAGAAATAAGTCTGTAGTTGGATAAAGCATAGTGTTTTGTAATAGAGCCATAAGATGGTAACTCTTAAAATTTTTTTTGTGGGGGGGGTTTGGGTCACATCCAGAGATGCATAAGGGTTACTCCTGATTCATGCACTCAGGAATTACTCCTGGTGGTGCTAGGGGGACCATTTGGGATGCTGTGAATCAAACCTGGGTCAGCCACATGCAAGGCAAATGCCCTATCTGCTGTGCTATTGCCTCAACCTCAACTCTTAAGATTTTAAAAAGCGAACATGATCACTCTCCTGCTGTGAAATGGAAGGGTAGCTTAGTTCAATACTGAAAAGAGCCAAGTTGGAAGAAGGGAGCCCACACATGTCACCCTCCAAATAGCACTCTGAGCTGCATGTCAGTCTCCCCATCTGGACTGAAACTGTGCAGCAGAAATGGTTGCAAACAGGAATTAGCCATTGTCAAGATGTGAGAGAAAAGGGCACCAGTCTAGAAGAGGCTCTGTGGTTTTCCCTAGGCTGACTTGACTGGGAGGTACCACTGCTCTGGAAAACTCTCAGCACTACCTTGCTTTAATTTCTTGGGTATCTGTTACCTACTTTAATTTCTTGGATCTATGAACCTTCCAGTTCTGTCTTGGGCCAGTTTTTGTTGATAGATGAAAGTACGTTTTTCTCTCATGCATATTTTACTAGAATATATGGTTGAAAGTATTTCAAAATCTCAGATACTTGCTAAGAAGAAATACAGCAGAAATCCGGCCTGTTCCTCAGTGCTATAAATCAAAGTACTGGGAATGACATTTTGATGGTAATCTATTTCAAAAACTCAAACTTTAGCGTAGAATATTGCTTCAGTGCATAGCAGCTACTGATAAGAAAGAAGAGAGATGAGAGGAAAATGTAAGAATTAATAGAAACCATGCTACAATATGTGATGGATACCATAGCACTAAATGGCTACCTGTTCAATAAAAAATGAGGAAATAATGAAGTCCTGATAGGTCAACACTGAGAATCAAGTTTTCACCTAGACAATTGGTTCTAATCAATGTCTGCCACTTATTGACTCTAAACTTGGGTGAGTCAATTTTCTGCATCTGTTTCCTGTAAATTGACTGTAATGAAACCAAGTATACTATACACAGAGGGACATTATGATTATCACTTGAGATTATGTCTTCTTGGATCCTATTTCACTTATAGTGTTTAAAACAATGTTATTTAGCAAACAACTGCGAGGCACTATTTGTACATTTTGGGATAGAATGGCAAAGAAAATGAAATTCTGTTTTGATTACAAGATATGTTTTCAAGATTTCCCTATGAGAATCTTTCAAAATTATAAGTACTCTAAAAGCCTGTTAAATAAATATGTTAAGGATCATGGATTTATGAAACCTATTTTTATTTGGCAGCTATTTTATGATTTCCAAGTCCATCTCTCTCTTGATTTACAGGAACATCACAGATAGATTTGGTGTGAAAGACAACATCCATGAGAAGAATGAATTTTTAGGGAGCAAAAGGATATCTCCAGTACATATAGACCGAAGGAAAAGCAGTTTCTCATCTGAGTGATATCATTCTTTTTTTTAAACCACTAATTATTTTTTCAGTTTTTAAAGTAACACAGGATTACATAAAAAGTTAAAAATAC